CGAATGGGACACAGTATCCTGAGTCCTGTTCTTGACTCTTCCAACCATCAGGTGCCCCTTCTCAACTTTCTACTTGCTCAGCCAAAATATAAAGATTTTTGGATCAAATGGTTTCTGGAAGCCCTCTTGTCTTATTCTCTGTCACTAAACGGAATATTTATGCTGGTGAATAGACAAGCAGTAACCTTGCTGTCCTTCACCATGTGCTGGTTCTTGTTTAGACCAGGATTCAGCAACCTATGGCCCAACCCACCACCAAATACAATTCCCCTGTTTTTGTTTGGCCCTTGAACTAAGAATAGTTTTTACATTTCAAATAGTTGGAAAAACATCAAACAATCCAGAAAATTAGACATTAAATGTCAGTGGTCATAAATAAAGTTTTATTGACACATAACCATGCTCATTCATTTACAAATCATCTATGGCTGCTCTCACACCACAATAGCCTCAGAGCCAAAAATGTTTACTACCCTGGGTAGTAAATCCCAGGTTTAGGTGATTTAGATAATGGGCTTTGGGCAAGTAGATCTCTCCCTTGCCATGTTTAAGTGCTGATGAAGACCCTAGACCTGGGCAGTCTACACATGAGTAAATCAACATTTGAGGGTATAAAGTTTCACTCTGTGGCAATGAAAAGAAAAGCAAGATAAAGCACAATCATAAAGGGCTCCTTTCGCTCTTGCTAACAGAACAGGAAGAAAAATATTAATGACCCAAGAAAGACTAGGCAAAGCAAGCACCTTAGCACTGTTAACGTCATTAGGAACTGACTCGCCCCTTCTTTCAAACAATCTGGCAGAATGACCAGTCATAAAAGTGTTCATACCTTTCAACCTAATAATCCAACTCCTGGAAATCTAGCTTAAGGAAACATTCAAAGGAACAAAAACACCATGTTGAGATGTTTGAATCAGCGTTTTTCTAATAAAATGCTGGAACCAATCTGAAATGTTTATCAACAGGAAATGAATCAGCAAGTTAGGAGTCCTTAACTCAATTAAATACTATATGCCCAGAGCTAGGCACACATCTGAAATCCCAGCTACTCAGGAGGCTTATGCAGGAGGACCACTTGGGCCCCATGCATTGCAGGCCAGCCTGGGCAACATAGCAAGCCTCCATCACATACAAAAAAAGAGGACTTGCTATGTGGCTCAGTGGTACAGCACTTGCCTAGTATGTGCAAGGCCCTTGATTCGATTCCCAATACATGAAAATAGTATATGCCCAAATAATGGACATGAACTCCATCATATGAAAAAGATATGCTACAATAAGACTATGTAAAAACCAAACATAATATAAAGTTTAGAAAAGATCATGGATATACCAACTTAGGTAAAGGGTCATACATATACATTTAGAAAATTACCTGATTCCTTTTTGTTTGTTTGTTTTCAGTACCAGGGGTTGAACCCAGAACCTAGCACATGCTAAGCAAGTGCTTTACCACTGAGCTGTACCCCCAGCCTTTCTATTAAATTTCATTTTGAGACAGGGTCTCACTCAGTTGCCCAGACTGGTCTTGAACTTGCAACCCTCCTGCCTCAGCCTCCCGAGTACCTGGGATTACAGATGTTCACCACCATACACAGCTAAAATACCTAATTTCTAAAGGCCCTTAAGCCAGCTTTGACAATTCCACACACACTGTCATTAATCTTTTTATAAGAAAAAGGCTTTGCAAACAAAGACAAAAACACACAAATGGAACACAGAACAGGAGTGAGCTTCCAGGAACACATTTCTTATAAACAAAGCAAATGATAACTACCAGTACTTTTGTTCAAATCAATTTATACTTATCATCTCCACCTCAGAAAAAGTGACTTCATGTTTTCATAACCCTTAAGGGACTAACAGATGACTGAACAAAGTAGGAATTACTCCTGAACATAAAAATAGAATCACTCTGGTAATCCACCCTTTATGTCCAGTAACCTCTTCAGGCTCTGGTTCTATCTTAAGGCAGTCTCTTTTACTAAACAACTCTTTTCTTTCCTTATTTTTTTTCATTTAATCCACAACATTGTAAGTACTGGCCTATAAATAAAAAATTTTAATATCTTTATCTTATTTACTTATTTTTATGTGGTGCTGAGGATCAAACCCAGTGTCTCACACATGCTAGGCAAGTGCTCTATCACTGAGCCACAACCCCAGCCCCCCATAAATCAAATTTAAATTTTAAAAAAAGCCTCAAAAAGCTTTCCATCAAAACTGTTCTACATTTCTACAAGCAATGTAGGCAAATGTATTTTGCTCATACCGTCCTTGTAAAAATGTGCTTACTGGAAAAAATGCCTACCCAAGGAAATGTGCCAAATTGGGAGTGGGGGAGGTCCTACAAGAGAAATGTGTCAGCTTATGAAAAAATAATAAGATGCCACAAACGAAATATGCCAACTGGAGGCAGAGGAAGCCCATAAAACACCATGGTGCTATTTGTTTTTATATGTTTATGATACCTAATAGAGCTATGCACAGTGTTCATATTCTTATCCCCAACATAATCTTTTCTGGAGACCCATGCAAGCCAGTCTCACACAGGTGGGAAGGCAAAATCTTATGCTTTTTGAGGACCATAGGTTCACATATCACTTGCCTTTTGCAAACTAAGAAGCACAATCTAAATATAAGGCAACAAAATTCAACAAATTATTGCCTGAAAACCCAAATGTCTATAAGCTGATGAATGAATAAACAAAATGTTATGTATCCATAGAATGGAATATTATTCAGCCATTAAAAGGAATGATACATGCTATACTGTGGATGTATCGTGAATACATTGTAATTGAAAGAGCCAGACACAAAAGAAGATCTAGCATATGGTTCCATTTATATGAAATATCCAGAATGGGCAAATCTATAGACAGAAAGTGGATCAGTGGCTGCCAGAGGCTGATAGAGTAGGGGTGGTGATGACGAGGGGGTTCAGGTTGTCTAGTAGAGGTGATGAAACTATTCTAAAATTGACAGTGGTAATGGTTGCAATAAAATAAGAATACAATAAAATCCAGTGAATTGTACACTACTAACAGATGAATTGATGGGATGTGAATTATATCTCAATAAAGCTGTTTTTTAGAAATGTTTTAAACAAGCTTTGGTGCTGTATTTAAGATTCACAAAAATCGTAAACATTATTTTCATGTCTACTGTAAAGAAAAACAAATCAGTCTTATTTTCATTATCTTTAAATACATTGAGTACACTGCTCTTTTTAAAAAGCCTAGTACAATTATTGTTAGGGTCTATAAACAAGTCAGGATGGCGCCTGGCATTTTTGCAGAGGGAGTGGTTTGTGAAGTAACGCCAGCGAGCCATTAAGTGTGGAGATTCCTTATTGGTTGACTGCTGTATCTAGTTTATGTTAATTAAGATAAGCTGTGTGGAATGTATATATACCCCTCCTGTCCTAGAATAAACGGCTCCCACTCCTGCTGTATCAATCAGGAAAGTTGCTTGTCACCCCCCGGTTATTTTGCTGCCGGCAAATTATCACTGAATCTTTTATAGTGGATATAATTTTAGAACATTAATTTTTTTTTCACTAACCCTTTTTTGTCACTTAGGCAACTATTTGTAGAAAGTTCCAAAGTATCTGAAAACATCTGAAAGCCAAATCATCGCTAATACCCACAAAGAGGAAGCATCTTATGTTTATAAAGAAAAATGCTAGTCACTTAAAGAACAATGCTTCTTAGCCAAAGAAAGAAATGTATTCATTTCAAAACGTTTTCAATTTCATTCTTGCTAGGAAGAACTATATTCCTTAGAACTATTATATTCATTTTTAAAGCAGAAGCTCATATTTCTGGTCTTACTTATCCTATTAGCTAAGAAGGCATTTGTCTAAGGTATTTTCTTTTTGTTTGGTTGGTTTTGTGGGGTTGGGGATCCAAAGCAGGGCCTTTCACATGCTAGGCAAGCACTCTACCACGGAGCACCAGGCCCCTAAGGTATTCTTATAACTTCACAGGAATGACTCTAGGTGTCCGAGATCATTGGGCAAACTCTCCTCCCCCCTTGCTGGGGATAGTGAGGGAACAAAGAAATAGCAAACTTTCTTCTCTGGGATACTGAGAGAACAATGGAACATATATTTAAATTTTTTAAAAAGGGGCTGAGGATGTGGCTCAGTGGTAGAGCTCCTCCTGAGTTCAAATCTCAGTACTACAAAACAAATAAACAGAACTTTTTGCCAATCATCCCAGAATCCCCTGTGTGGCTGTCCTAATCAATGTTTCCTCCCCCACTGCCTGCCCCACAAAAGGGCCCTCTACAGCCATCACTTCCTTATTTTGTCTGGTGTGGGAGAATGGAACCCAAGGCCTTGGGCATAATAGGCAAGCATTCTCTGTACCACTGAGGCATACCCTCAGCCCAGAAGAAAAATACTTCTGAGACATATACTTCTGAGCCTTCCTCCTTAGGAAGTTCATTAATGAGGCACCCAAGGCCAGTCAGACTGCAACAAAGAGCCAGTTTCAATGTAGTAGAGAGAACTGTGGATTCAAAAGAATTGAGTTTGAATCAGAGCGCTCTCCCCCAGTCCAAGTTCATCTCCAAGCACATTGGTAAACTCACAAAACAGCTTGCTGAACAAAGTGTCTTGCAGTTCAAATGAGAAGGAGCATTTATGCTGTGTTCTACCAAGTCCTGCCAGGGAGAAGAATGCCCAAAGCAGAGGGGCCAGCAAGAGAAAAGGGACAGGGCTGGGATTGTGGCTCAGTGGTAGAGCGCTCACATAGCATGGGCGGGACCCGGGTTCAATTCTCAGCACCACATTAAAAAAAAAAAAAAGATTCTCTCTCTCTCTCAAAAAAAAGAGAGAGAGAGAGAGAGAGAGAAAAGGGACAAGCAAGAGATAGAGTCGAAAGTCCTGAAGCTGCTGGAAGGGATGGGGCTGAGCCTCCAAAATGGGCTGGGTTCCTGTCATGGCCACGTGAACAGCCAGAAGTCTTGTAAAATAAACCATCTGGGAAACTTACTCAATATTGAATTTTCCGTTTTGAAAACAGTTCTTCTTAGTCCCAGTCTCATTGTTCCTCCCAAATTGCCAGGGTTGTGTTCAGGCATGTCAATCACCTTAGGAAACAAAACAGATTCAGTTTTACCATTTTGTAAAATTATCATTTCCCAAATTTCAAGCTGTACTTTTAGAGAAATGGTCATTGGGTCAGCATGTTCCCCAACGTATAATATCTGATCAGTTCCTTGATGTTCCTGTCCAAAAGCAGCCATCCTTCATACTCACCTCACACTGCGCTTCCATTTCATCTCTACTTCTCATCTTTCATTCAAATCACTTGTTAAAAAATTATCAGGAGCATCTTTATGACCCTTTTCCTATCATTTCTCAATCTGTCAGTTCCAAGCAATGTTCACTTTTCAAGTTCTGGGCTTCTGAGACCTTCTATTTTGGTATTCATGTCTCTCCCAGGATAAACTTCTTGCCACCCATTGCAAGATATTCTCTAAAGATTTTCCATAAGTAAATCTGTCAGTCCTTGTAGAAAGGTAAATCACAAGTATCTTATCTATAGAAAACCATTAGAAGAATTCCTTAAAAATCAAAAAGTAATATCCATTCTAGAACATTCTGTGGATCAGGAACCTAAGTAGCACCCTTGATCTCTCCCTCTTTCTCCTATCCAATCGGTCAAGTCCTGTTGATTTATCACCTACAGACCCTCTTGTCCAATTAAGGAGCTGTAGCCTAATGAGGGCCTTCTCTCTATGGCCTCACAGACCCAAGTTCTTCCCTTGTCCCTGCCCTTCTCAGTCTGTCTGATGGGTGTTTTGAGTGTGAGACTGGGGTGGTTTTGTTTTTTCTCACCATTGCATTCCTAGTCCCTGGCATGTGTGGATCTAGCACATGGTATACACTGAATGAATGAATGAACTCAAAAGAAAAATTTCAAATTCATCTTTATGGTTATACCACAGAAATTCAGAAACAAATGACTTTTAAGTTTTTCACCTCTTCTTGTTAATCTGGTAATTCATGTGTTTTCCGGGTTCACTATGATCTCATGGTTTTGGTTCATCTCTTTTTTTTAAGTTGTTATAACAGATTACAGTTGGGTAAATTGACCTGTGCTGATGGAATTGCTTGGGCTTCCCTCATAGAAACTTCCTTTCCTTTTTTCCCCCACACCCTAACCGTCACATATTGATTGCTCCACTGGCATCCCTGACAACCAGAATTTCCTGAGGTAAGAATTTTCTAAGAAAACAACTGATCTTATCAGTGCTCCAGAACTTTTAGAACCATTTGAACTCTGTGTCCCAAGCAAGCTCCAAGAGTCACTGAGGGGAAGGGGTGGAGAAAAATCTGGATTACATCCCTCATTGGATGGAGTGCTCCATTCGGAACTGCTCTTGGCCTTGGCATCTCTTCCCTATCTTCTTTGCTGGGCTAATTATGGCTAGATTAAGTATTACTGGAGTGAGATGAGAGAGGGCATTGGCTTCCAGTTTATGAAGCTGAGCTGCTTATGAACACCTGGCCTTTCTAAATATTTTCTAGGAAAGGGCAGATAAGACCACACCACCTGTCATGGACTCACAGGAAGTCCTAAGTGTATTCAGAGCCTCAATCTCATTTAACTTCCATTTAAGTTAAGACAATCTAAACCATCTTGGCAGACCACAACAATAAACTCTACTAACATCCTGTTAAACTTGTGTGGCACATGCCTGTAATCCCAGCAGCTCGGGAGGCTGAGGCAGGAGGATCGCAAGTTTGAGTCCAGACTCAGCAATTTAGCAAGGCCCTAAGCCACTTGGTGAAATGCTATCTCAAAAAGAAAAAAATTACTGGGGTTGTGGCTCAGTGGTAGAATGCTCGCCTAGCATGCATGAGGCACTGGATTCGATCCTTAGCACCACATATATGTAAAATAAAGATATTGTGTCCACCTAAAACTAAAAAATAAATATTAAAAAAGAATTTTAAAAGGGCTTGGGATGTGACTCACTGGTAAAGTACCCCTAGGTTCAATCCCCAGAACTACCAAAAAAAAAAAAAAGATCCTGTAATTCTCCATTCAATTCACCCACCTTACTGACTTAGCTGAGTCCAAGAACACACAGTCTTTCAATGTAGTATGTTCCGTTATTGGTGAATTTGATATTCAAGAATGCTCTGATCTGAACCATTGAGAATAGATAAAATTACCCAACTAAGATGAGGAAACCTATCTTTGTGCTTATTTAGGATGAAGTTAACAGATATCTCCAGACAAGCAAACATTTTCAAAACTAAAGTATGGAGGTGGTGAGGGAAAGAAGGAAAATGTAGTGGACATGGAGGCTGTTAAATACTAAGGCCATTAAATACTAATGCCATTAAATACTCACCTAACATGGGAAAATGTTTAAATTCCTAAAAGAAAAATGTGAGGATGTTATTTAGAAACCTGGAGGAGAAAGGGGCTGGGGCTGTAGCACTTGCCTGGCATGTGTGAGGCACTGGGTTCAATCCTCAGCACCACATATAAATAAATAAAATAAAGATCCATCAACAACTTAAAAAAAAAACACCCAGATGGGTATTGAAAAAAAAAAAAAGAAAGAAACCTGGAGGCAAATACCAGGAGAAACATCTAGAAGGGTTGAGAGGGTGAGGAAAGAGTACTGACTCTTTCATTATAGAAGAAACAGTTCTTTGGAACTGTTGGCTTTGCCCATAATATTATTTTAATGAAAATAAAAGTTTAAGGCACAAAGAGTGAAATGTATTACTAAGGCCTTACATGAGGGTATTAGTTCACACTCTCTACAGTGTGTTCAGAAGTAATAAACATGACCTTTCCCTAAAATGAGAGCAAAGAAAGAAATCCCAAAGGGTAACATCTACAGTGCTGCTCTGACTGCAGTGTGCTAACACAGGAACCAGTGGAGAAGGAAAAAGTGCAAAGAGATTGGAGAGCAAAGGAAACAGTCCCCCCACCACTCCAGACGATGCCTTGGACAGCAGTGAAAGGGGAAAATCAGAGAGGATCAATAGGAAAGGTACCAGGGAAGGAGGGAACAGGACAGGTCTCTCTGGGTGTCTCTAGGAGGCTCATCCAGGGATGCCCAGGACTTGCTCAGAATTTCTCATGTGTTCCTCAAGTACTCTTAACAATTCCCCAACCCCTTTCTTTCCTGCTGTCCATTAGGTTTTTCTGTTCCTTTTTGTTTTTCAAGTCTTACTCAGGCAAAGAACCTCACAGTTATCAAACAACACTATTTGCTCGAAAGATGTGCCTGACAGCCTCTTGGATCATAAGCAACCTGATTCAGCAAAAAAAAAAGGAACCCAAACATCTTTGTTCCTTGCATTCCTTCCAAAACAAGCCTCAGCTGGGTGTGGTGGTACATGCCTGAAACCCAGCAGCTCAGGCTGCTGAGGCAGGAGGATTGCAAGTTCAAAGCCTGCCTCAGCAACTCAGCAAGACCCTAAGCAACTTAGCAAGACCCTGTCTCAAAATAACAAAATGGCTGGGGATGTAGCTCAGTAGAAGAGCGCCCCTGAGTTCAATCCCTCATATTAAAAAAAAAAAAAAACAAAAAAAAACCTGAGAGATAGGAGAACATTCTCCTAACTATTTTATTATTGCTGGGTGATCAAAGAAAAGAACCTGAAATATGCTATAGATTTGTTGCCAACATTTTCAAAATAACCCAGACTTCGCATCTAAAAGCAAATTCCTCTTCCATTGCAAAAGGACTGCCTTGGCCCCTCTAATTTGGCCAGAATACTGGCTGTCATCTGTTCCCCAGATCTGTCCATTCTTGGAATTGAGCCATAGACATAAAAAGAATAAAAAAGGATCAATAAGTAATAAAGCTTTAGGAGATGTAAAAGCACCTCATGAGGATAAATATGATACTAATTAACCTTTACTAAATTTTTCTTCAAACCACAATAAAAGTATAATGGGTTCAAGTCCTTATTGCACTCAGGTACCTTCAACAGCAAAGTGTAAGGACGTTCAATTCTCTTACTAATGATACAACCCCTAATGGCAGTGTGCATGGGGCCTGTCTGATGGAGCTCTTGTCCTTCCTTCCTTTCTTTGCCTTTGGATATTTCACTGGGGGACAATGGGAAAGCTTCACATCTAGCAGACCATCTTCAGTATCTCAGGCAACATGCAAAGCAATTTGCTCAGGTATTTTAGAGTATTCTCTGAGTATATTTACAAGGATTCCCCAACCCATTCCTTTCCTAGCACTCTTTGGTTTTTCTCTTCCTTCTCTTCTTTACTCTGATTTTGATTCTTTACAGGTCCATATTCAAGTTGTACAAAAATATACGGGCTAGCTTTATTGTCAATGGTACTTACCTAATACTGTTTTACACAGCTAGCTCCAGCAGCCTCCGTCACTACAGATCAGATCTAAACTGCTGGGGGCACTCAGGTAGCACCTCATGCATGAGCCCAGCTAGCTGTGCTCTCCTTATGGATTCTAACCTGCTGTCTACCTCAGCTACACTGGTCTAATACCAAGGGCTCCTCCACTTCCTCCCACTACCCTGTGATTCACAAGACCACCCCTTTAACACTTTTCTGAAGGCACTTTCTCCCTCCCATTCCACAAGAGCCCATGCCTTAGGGATATCCTCCAGTACACCTTTTTGCCCCATAATTAATACCATTGCTCTGCCCACCCTCCCAAATAAATAATCTATACATTGTTAACTCATTTTCAGTTAGTCCCTGGAGAAGGCTGAATAATGCCTCCCCACAAAGATGTCCATATCTTATTCCTTGGAACCCAAGAATCCATGACCTTACATGGCAAAAGACTTTGCAGATAAGTTAAGGCTCTTGAGAGCCCTCATGCTGTGTCATAACATGGCAGAAGGCATCATAGGAGAGAAAGAGACAGAGACAGGCTAAACTCAGCCTTTATAAGGAACCCATCCACGAAATAGAAAATTATCCTGGATTATGAGGGTGAACTCAACATAACCGAGTAGGCCCTAAAAAGAAGGAGGCACAAAGGTAATAATCAGAGAAGGTAACTTAATGACAGAATCATACAGAGATTGGAAGATGGGGGGGGGGCCAAGACAATAAGGCCTCTAGAAGCTTTAAAAAAAAAAAAAAAGCAAACAGATTCCCCCATAGAACATCCAGAAAGAACACAGCTCTGCCAACCAACCCACTTTATACTTCTGACCTCCACGACTGAAAGAATTTGTACTGTAGGGCTGGGAATATAGCTCAGTTGGTAGAGTGCTTGCTTCACATGCATGAGGCCCTGGGTTCAATCCCCAGCACCACAAAAAAAAAATTTAAAAAGAAATTTTTATTGTTTCAAGCCACTGTGTTTGTGGTAATTTGTTACAGCAGCAATAAGAAGCTAATACATTATTTAGATGTTTCTGTAGACATCCATTTCATAGCATTGCTGTGAGGATTTCATGATGTCACAGAAGTCGGGTGCTTAGGACAAAGGAGTGCCCATGGTAAAAATAAACTCCCAATAAGCATTGGCTATAATCAGGAGGCCTCTAAAACTCAATCACTGAGCATGAACACAGACAGGCCCAAAGGCAACAGACTCACAACCCAGGGAAAGGTTAAAAGTAGAAAAGAAAGTGAACTCTGTCTGAGGGTCCAGGGAAGGCAGGCACCAGACAAGGGGACAGGCAAACTATAATATAATAACCAGTCTTTTCAGTATTTATCATTTGATGGGGTGGTTATCATAATAAAATATAATAACCACCCCATCAACTGTAGCTCACAAGTGATTTTTTGAGAAGACAGATGATTTTAGGAATAGCTATAATTTAGTATTCAAGGTTTCTTTTAAACTTCAAGATTACATGATAGCATTCCACACGTGTTCTGCTTTGCAAAGACTGGGTACTAACACTGTACCCTCTTTCTCAAAGGGCTTTTTCAGACACTGCATACTGTTCACTTGGAGCAGAATAACATAGCCATGGAAGTTTGTGGCACCCTGAGCTTTTAAAATAAATTACTCTTGGTTTTTCCTAAGGAAAAGTTAAGTCTGTTCAAAGATCAAGCAATTGAGCAGCAAGATGATAAATAACCTTTGCCTCTCCATTTTTCCATTACCAATCTTGTACCTGTCATTCTTTCCCCTTCTCGCATTTCAAAATGCACTCTTGTGAACACACCCTGCATTTATCGCTTGTCTTCATATATTTCTAGTTAATGTTTCATGAGACTATCTATTAGTGGATTTAGTGTTTCTGACTTCAGGCTTACCCTCGTGGATTTAAGTCTATGGGTAAAGAGGTGTCACTGGAGGAAATGAGCAAGCAAAACTGAAAAGACCCACAGGTTGTTTTTCAATTTCTGTTAGCATTTGCTGCTGTATAAGTTCTGACAAGCAGCATTGGGCCCATCTTTCCTTGAAATGAGAAGTTGTAACCTGAAAGACTGTTAACTGATAAAAGTGCTTCTTAGAATGTATTTATACACACACACACATATATGTACATGTCATATACACCATGTGTCATGTGTTATATGTGTTCTTTATATAAAATGTTATCTGTCATATAATCTATTTCTATTAAGATTATAGGGGCTAGGGATATAGCTCAGTTGGTAGAGTGCCTGCCTTGCATGAACAAGGCCCTGAGTTCAATCCCCAGGACCACGAAAAAAAAAAAAAAAGATTCTATATTTATTGGGCTAGTGGTGTAGGTCAGGGGTAGAACACTTGCCCAGCATCCATGAAGCCCTGGGCTCAACTCCCACAACCACAAAAAAAGTTAGATAATTATTACAATCATATTCTTCAATATACATACTAGAAGAGAAATATAATAACCACCCCATCAACTAACTGTAGCTCACAGTGATCATTTGAGGGGACAGATAATCTTAAGATTCTGTTTCAATAATTGGAGAGATTTGAATATAGTCTGTGATAATGGCATTGCAACTATGTGGGAGCATGTCCTTGTGGCGGGGGTGGGGGGGACACATGCTGAGGCATTTAGGGGTAAGTACATAAATGTTCACAACTGATTCTCAAATGGCTCATGGTGGAGAGGGGTTGGTCCAGAGAAAGAGAAAGCAAACATGAAAATATTAGCAATTAATGAATCTAGTCAAAAGGTAGACTAGAGTTCGCTGTACTATTCTTGTACTTTTTTATAGACTCAGAATATTTTTAAAAGATGTTGGAGAAAAAAGATAGCTCTTGATATGGTTATTCACAAAAGCCGACTTCTTCCTAAGAGAACAGAACCTACACATAAAAACATCAGAAATTTTCTAAAATTTCAATTTAAAAAGCACTGTCAAAATCAGAATATTTTTGTGTAAAATCTTACAACTAAAAACAAAATGCACTAAAAACACAATGCCTGTCTTAACTCCAACCAGTGAATGAACACATATTCTATACTGGTGCAAACCAGACTTCAATAATCTGTAATAAAAATAATAATACATGCAAGACAGAGAAGACACATGGAATGATAAATACTCAAGACTGGTAGGAAGCTTTTAAGGAACTCTAAGATTTCACGTTTGTTCTCCAATGTAAAGACAGCTCTAGATTTTTACAGCTGAAAAGCATCAGGGAGAAATACAATCTGATAGTTCAAGCCTCAATTTGTAGGTGATATAATGCAGGTCAGAGAAAATTATACCAGTGTGGAAGTGTACAAGTGTTTAAAAGCTGTTAAGTGCTTTTAAAGTCGACCTGGAACCCCTTCCTGTGACTTATGATCAGTATTAGATCAATGTCCCCTGGAAATGGCCTAGTTATTTCATGGAACTCTTTCCAATATAAATCAATTTTGTCTACAATTTTAAATCCTGGCAGTTCCAAAAAAGTTTGAAGGATTTCCAATTGTATTAGAGTAGGCTGAGTGTTTTTGTAAGTTTGTAGAATGATTCCCAAAATATACTTGATAAGGAAAAGGCTAATGAGAAAAATAAAGCAGACAATGGGATCAACAAATAATGGAAAAGTTGAAAAATGACCATGTTACTCAGTAATCTTGCTTTGCCAAATGAAACCCCAAATTATTAGGTATCTTCTTCCCATATCTTAAAAGTGCTTCTGAAGCAATACTTCCATTCATTCATTCATGTATTGAAATATTTAAGTAACTGTCTTGTCCAAGACATAAGTGGAGACTTCAAGGGCCATACTAAAATTTTTTTTATTAGAGCTTAATGGTGAATGGCCCTGCTAAAATTTTTTTTTTAATATTTATTTTTTAGTTGTAGTTGGACACAATACCTTTATTTGCTTTTATGTGGTGCTGAGGATCGAACCCAGGGCCTCATGATTGCTAGGCGAGCACACTACCACTGAGCCACAACGCCAGCCCTGCTAAAATTTTTAAAACTATGTAACAGGGACTGGGGATGTGGCTCAAGCAGTAGCGCTCTCGCCTGGCATGCGTGCGGTTCTATCCTCAGCACCACATACGAAGATGTTGTGTCTGCCGAAAACCAAAAATATTAAAAAAAAAAAATTCTCTCTCTCTCTCTCTCTTTAAAAAAAAAACAACTATGTAACATTTTCCTTCTGTGATAGCATTTTTTTTTCCTGAATATGAAGAAAGTGATTTTTTTTTTCCAAGCCTAAGAATGCAACTAAATTGAAAACAATCGTCCACATTTAACTCAATCTGAAATGTGAACTGTGAGCAAATATCTTAATTTTACATTGGAGGGAAAATACAACCTAAGGAAGACAAAAATCCAAGTTTGCTCTTGGGACTCTGAACCATTAATCAATTAACTGTTGAGGTGGCCCTTTATTGGATCTTGCCCTTAATTAACAGGTTTATGCAGACTTAAGCTTGGGTTTCAAAAACCATTAATAATTACCCTTAAATGGCAAACAAAAGGAAAATTTCATAATCAGGGTGGTGTGTCTTGAAAGACTATAAAAGTCACAGGATCCTTCCCAACTCTTCACGCATCTCTGATTCTTCTAGCAGCTGCACAGTCAGGCGACCAGGTTAGTGTGATTTTAGTCCCATCTAGAGCTCCTTCTGCTTACAGGAATACTTTGCTTCCTTTAAGAATGGTGTTCAAGTAAGTAAGCTGGAGAGAAAGTGGGTTTTTGCCATCTAAGGATATTACCAGTAACTTAGAGGCTAGAAGCTATGGTCAGAGATTCTTCAAGACTGCAGCCTAGAGCACAGACCGTGGACATGAGAGGGGAATGTTATTAATTACTAAGAAAAATGTTTATCTCCAGAGATCATTTCCTAACAAATGTATTCTAAGAACAGACATTTAACATACTATCTAAGTTTGTTTTATGCAGTGCTGGGGATCAAAAACAGGGCCTTGTACCCATTTATATTTCAAAAGCATTTAAACTTGTGCTAATTTCTGTTATGCACTTAAATTTGCAAGTATTTTACCACTGAGCTACATCCCTAGCTCTAAGATTATTATTTTTTGAGAGAGAGAGAGAGAGAGCGTGCGCGCGAGCCAGCCTTTTTTTTATGTGGTGCTGAGAATCGAACCCGGGTCCCGCCCGTGCTAGGCAAGCGCTCTACCGCTGAGCCACAATCCCAGCCCAAAGATTATTTTTAAAATCCATTGACAGAGGCTAGGGTTGTGGCTCAGTGGTAGAGCACTTGCCTGGCAGACGTGAGGCATTGGGTTCAATCCTCAGTACCACATAAAAATAAGTATATAAGATAAAAGTATTGTGTCCATCTACAACTAACATGTATTTTAAAAAAAACTGATGATTACTAGTGCCATTCCCATATTCCCACCCTGACCCTCTCTTCTCCTCTCTTTCTTCTTATTCTCCCATCTGGGCCAAGGAAAAGCCCCAGTAGAACTAAAATTATGCTGATAACACTCAGCATAAAACTCCATTTGAATTTTTTGGTAAGTTAATTTCCTTCCAAATTTCCAGGACTCCAAAATGAGTTGTAAAAAGTCTCCCGAAGAACTGAAGAGCATTTTTGAAAAATATGCAGCCAAAGAAGGTGATCCGGACCAACTGTCGAAGGATGAACTGAAGCTATTGATTCAGACTGAATTCCCTACTCTGCTCAAAGTGAGTACAGGTCTACAGAGCTGTTGAATGATCTTCAGATGGTGGGAGGGGCGGAGGAGGAAAAGGAGCCCAGTGCAGGCACTTTCCCTAAAGTCAGGCAAACTCCCTGAAAACAGGGGCCCAGCCTTCTACCCCTCCCACGGCCTCAGCACAGAACTCTCTATGGTAAATGGCTTTGGCCAAGCTATGCCTGCAAGACCCACAAGTCACCATGCAAATCCACTAAGGCCTTCAGCCTGGTTTCAGCACCTCTGTGCCAGGCTTTAGGAAAACAAAGAGGACTGCAAAATAATATTTACTGGCCTGGAATGTGCTTCATTTTTTTTTTATTTTAATGTAGTGCCCTCAACAAAACCAACACTTCCTTGGGAATGTGTTAAGAAAACCCGGCTTCAGGCTGACAAATTGCCCTGTGGGCACCCATTTATATTTCAAAACCATTTAAATTTATGCTAATTTGTGTTATGTGCTTAAATTTGTGTTAATGAGGCAACCATGCACTTCTAAACAACTTTCCAGAAAGGACTAAATTTCTTTGGCCATCAAGTTTCATATCAAAACCATCCCAGAGTCAACAAAATCATAATGTGTCCAGAGGTGGTGGGGGGGCCTGATTCTCTTTGCTCTGATATACTTTCTTTGCCTTTGTTAGAGAAAAAATATTTATGACACTTGTTAAAGATAGTAAGGCAGTTATTGGGGGTGGGGGGAGGGGAACAATCAGGATAAGTATGGGGATTACCATGGGGTCTTGCAATGGGAGAGAGACCAGTTCAACTTGGGACTCCAACAAGGACAGATGGGGGTTTATAACCAAGTTTTGCAGGGTGGAATCAGCGGGTGGAAAATACTAGTGAAACAACAAGGATAAAGTGACCTGACAGGATTTTTGCTAAAGGCAGGCCAAGTTAAAAAGATAACCAGGGCAATCAGATCCCAAGGGCTAAGGATTTTCCCTAAATTGACTTAGCAGGTTTCTTGCTCAAACTGGATTCCCAGAAAGGAAAGCACAACACCAGGCCCAGTCAAGCAGAAGACTCAAGGAAGGCTAAGATTTGGTTAGGGACATAGTTTTTGTCTTTGTCACTTTGCAACTAAACATGACTGTGCAGCAGTTACAGCCAATTCAGAAGAAAGTATTTGTTTCAAGTACCCCTGCTTTCTAGGTTTTAACCAGAAATGTCCCCTTCTGCCACTATGGCATTTGGAAAGATTTCTGTTTGTAATACTAAAAAGAAAAAAAAAAACCTGCTAAATTCAACAACATTATAATCTGATGTTTCCTCATTTTCTTAGAGTTGAAATATAAAGTAACTTGTGTGTGTGTGTGTGTGTGTGTGTGTATGCGCATGCACGCGCAAGCTCATGCATGTGTGTTGCTGGAAATTGAACCCAGGGCCTGGTGCATGCTAAGCAGGGACTCTAACCTTGAGCCACACCCCCAACTCCTAAAAATAACTTTTTTGGTGTGGTGATAGGCATCAAACCCAAGGTCTTGTGCACACTAAGCAAGTGCTCTGCCACTGAGCTACATACTCAGCCCTAAAATAACCGTTAAAAGCACTAGCAAGAAAAAATGATTCTTAATTAAAAGAACAAAAAGAAAAATAACAATCTAACAGGAAAACCCAGGCAACTAAACGAGTCATTTTAAAAGGTAAGACTCACCAGGCACAGTGGCCCATGTCTATAATACCAGCTACTCTAGCAGCTGAGGCAGGAGGATCACAAGTTTGAGGCCAACTTAGCAAGAATCTGTCTCAAAATAAAAACTTAAAAGGGTTGGGGATGTGGCTCAAGGGTAGAATGTTCCAAAGTTTGATTCCCAGTAGCACAAAGAGGAAAAAAGGTAAGACTAGTGAATTTTTCTTTATTTTATGTATTTCCTACAAAAAGTAGATAAGACTATTATAATTTAGAAAAAGATAGGAAGATTAATAGTAAGCTTTGAAAGTCTGCTTACATATACCTGATTATATTTACTAAGATTTTCCAGCTATACTCTGTATTATTATCAACTTATATGGTTTGGAATTTAGTAAATGCTTTGCATTTATAAAGCAGATGTTGAATAACTAACTTAAGAGTTTGGCCTTGTGATTCCCCAAAGGGTCAAGTGTCTTTGTAGGACTCTTAAGGATTAAAATATACCCAGCCTGGAGAGATCTGTTGTATAGCAAAGTAAATAAACTCAGCACTACTGACCTGTCCATTTAAAAATAGTTAATAAGGTAAATTAAATGTTGTTTATTTTAACCACTATTTTGTGTATACATACCTATAGATATAGAGAGACAGCCAATGTCATTTGAAGTTGACACAAACTTAACAGTTATCTCAATAGGCTTTCTAAGTATTATTTGGCCACAAATAGACTCCCACCTAAAATTCCAAGTAGTAAATGGTTTTAAGATTTGAGCTTTATGGCAGAGACAAAAAAAAAAAAAATAAGTCTGCTTAGGATACAGGAATACCAGTAGTCACAAAGCCTGAACATAAGCTCATGGGGCATCTCAAGCAGCAGTTCTCAAGCCTGGTCCTGGACCAGCAGCATCAGCCCCACCTAGGGACCTGTTGAAAATACAGATGTTAGGCCTTCCACAGGACTAGTGAATGATAAACTCTGACCCCCATGAAGCTAGCCATCCATCTGTGCCTACTAAGGTCAGGAAGCCCATCAGGCAACTCTGATGCATGCTAAAGCATGAGAACTAGTAATCCAAAGTCATCTTGGATAATCCAGAGGTGTGCTGCTGCCCAGGGTTTGGGAAAATCTCAGGTGGTGGCTCCTTACAGTGTTGGGCTCTGGGGTCAATGTCTGAAGCCCAAGCCCTCTGCTAACTACTGTGCATGCTGGAGCAAATTAGCAGCTGTCTCTGAACCTCAGGTTCCTCACCTATAAAGTAGGTCTCCCCTATAGAGTGGCTGAGAGGATAACACAGGCTACCAAAAGCCTCACTTGACCCAGAGGCAATATGGGCCAGCTAGTCCTCACTGCCTGCTGCCTCTGGTTATATGGCAACCACAGGCTTAGAGCCAGAGACAAAACCAGCTCCCAGGAAAAGCTTGAAGCAGAGGTCCTCAAATGTTTGTGGGTCAGGGGTAGTCTGGTAAAGCCCATGGACCCCTTTTCTGAGGAATATTTTTGGGGCACAAAGAAAATGTCATAAGATCACATTTTTTTAAAGTACATAAAATACACATTATTCTATTAAATATTAAATGTGATACAGTTAAAAAAAAGAAAGGTACTGTGACATGGACCAACCTAAAGCTGGTTTTTCCACACCTAACCATCAATAGCACATGACTGGAAACTCAGGCAGCCTTCTTGAAAAGAACACTCAGTCTCGCTAATTTCAGAGAATGTGTAGCAGTATCTGATTCATCCCCCCCGCCCCAACATGTCTTCCTTTTTGTCTAAAACCAGGGTTCAAGCACTATCGACGACCTCTTTAAAGAGCTGGACAAGAATGGAGATGGAGAAGTTAGTTTCGAAGAATTCCAAGTGTTAGTAAAAAAGATATCCCAATGAAGGAGCAAACAAAACAGCATCCTGAGCCCTGAACGAAGAGCACCTGGTTCTAACTCACATGGAATCCTCAGATTTCCGGTTGAATTCTTCACAATTATAGTGATCTGGCTGTGAGATCCACTTATTGTCAATAAAAAAATTCTTAGACATGTCTCCCCTCTTTGAGTACTGACTCTCTTCACTGAGTATATTTAAAATTACTTTAAATTCCTGACTCATCTGATTTTAAGATTTTTAAAAATGGGGCTGGAGATGGGGCTAGTGGTAGAGCATTTGCTTAGCATATGCAAAGTCCAACACCATACAAAAAAAGAGAGAGACCCCAAATAACTATGTGAGTACACCCAAGACCACAAAGATGGTGTCAGGGACTTGAAAAGAATCCTGGAGTGTCAAAGCAAGGCCATCACTCCACTTTTCCAGAAGAATAACTCAGTTCCTTGTTTTCTCCCCCCAACTACTCAGTCCTGGCGTCATTTCCAATTTCAACCCTTATTTCATGTTATTCAATAACCAGTGAGGAACAGACTTCAAAAGCAGACACTTGTCTTTAAGTCACCTCCCAGCACTCACTGTGCCTTTTGAAGGAATGACCCTCGAGGGAACAGAAGGAACACAGGACCAAGAGTCAGTCGCTCTGCTCCTAACTGAGGGGTGGCCTCAGGTCTACCGGCCTAACATCTTGGTTCTAGAAAACAACATTCTGAACAATGTTTTTCAATCTTTTTTATTTTTAACTCATGCTGGGAGCCAAAATTGCCAAGCTTTACTTTCTGTAGAACACATCAGAATGCTATGGAACCATTTCCCCTTCAAAATGTAGAAAATAGTAATAATGAATGTTTTTCAACTGTATAAGCCCTTCAAAAGATCGCTACCCTAAACTGAGACTCCAGGGGTTTTCTTTTTAACCTAATGAACTTAAGTGTATACTGGGTGTGTCAGTCAAGGTGGCTGCTGTCATTTACACACACTCATACACATACAGCCCCAGTAGCTTAAAGACCCTCAAAGGCAGCCAGTGGAGCAAAAGCCCAGGCTCCCATCCCCATCCAAGTTTAAGGCCAGCCTGGGCAAACTTAATGAGACCCTGTCTCAAAATAAAATTTTAAAAGGGCTGTGGATGTAGCTCAGTGGTAGAGCACTTGTCTTGTAGGTGCAAGGACCTGAGTTCAATCTCCTGTGCAGAAATTTTAAGAAAAAAAAAAGGGGGGGGGGGAATACTCGTTCCCTTGTTTAAGAATTATCAGGTCCAGCGGCTCAGGAGGCTGAGGCTGGAAGATCACAAGTTCAAAACCAGCCTCAGCAACTTAGTGAGGCATTTAGCAATTCAGTGAGACCCTATCTCTAAATAAAATACAAAAAAAAAAAAAAAACAGGGCTGAGGATGTGGCTCAGTGGTTGAGCACCCCTGGGTTCAATCCTCAGTACCAAAAAAAAAAAAAAAGAATGATCAGGCATTTGAGATTTAGCTCAGTTGCAGAGCATAAGGCCCCGAATTTGGTCTTTGGACTCAACCCTGAAAAAAAGAAGTATTAGTCTAGCCAGGTGTGACTCATGACGCACACCCATATTCCCAGTGGTTCAGGAGGGCAAGGCAGAAGGATTGCAAATTCAACACCAGCTCAGCAACTCAGTGAGGCCCTAAGAACTTAATGAGACCCTGTCTCAAAAGAAAAAATAAAAATACTGGGGATGTGGCTCAGTGGTTAAGCACCCCTGGATTCAATCTCCAGTACCAAAAAATAAAAATAAAAAAGTACCAATGTCTTCTTAGTTTGTTATGAGACTGAGAGACTGAGATCACCAGGGTGTGGATATTATAAACTGTCTTTGGAGCATCTATGGGGTCTCTATGTTTTGTTCAGTCAATATGTGTTAATTGATTCAATTCCCACAATAACACAGTATCCAGTCATGATTGATTATTCTCTAATGCTGTTAAATTAGCCACTCTAATATTTTAAGATTTTACAGCTTCATTCCTAACCAACATTAGTCAATAGTCTGAATGCTTATTATTTGCTGCCTGTGCTTCATTAGGTGTAGTATCCAGGGCACTCTAGCTTCCCATTTTAGCCTATGGTAAAGGTATCATTTAGCCTCTTCTGAGCATTTCACCTGGGATTTGTAAGAAGCACCAGAGGGGAGTACACAAGGAAGAGGCAGCAGTGGCTATTCAAAAGAAAAGAAAATACCCCAAATAAGCACATCGTGTCCATGTACATACACACTGTGTCTTGGATGGAAATCCAGGTGTGAGGAATGCAGGGCACACTGGCTTCAGACCATCAAAGTCCTTGGCTGTCATGCTGAAGAGCCAGCCCAAGGCCAGAAAGGGAACAGAAGGTGTAGGAGTCACAGAATGGCGTGAATGTGCTTTAAGATGAGGTAGATGCCATCTAAGAGCCTACAAGGGTGTGGAGGACACACAGTGAAAGCCAGGGCCATGCAGGGGGCCTCCACAGCAAGCAGGGCAAGAACAGGGACAAGATATAGCAAACAGACAGGAGAGATACCTCTGATTGGCTGGCATGGACAAATTATTGTTTGAGGTTTAACCTTCATAAAGGATAAAAATGAAGCTGGGCGCAGTGGCACATGCCTATAATTTCAGCAATCTGGGAGGCCAAGGCAGGAGAATTGCAAGTTCCAGACCAGCCTCAGCAAATTAGTAAGACCCCATCTCAAACTTTAAAAAGGGCTGGAGCTATAGCTCAGTGGTAAAGTGCCCCTGGGTTCAATCCCCAGTACCAAAAAGAAAAGGTGGAAATGAGTGGAGTGGCGTGTGTGCATATGTTCATGTTGTTAGCCTTCTTGGCCTCGATTCCACAACATTGATCTGATCTCCCATGTCACCAGAGTTCACCTACATTTCCCCTCAGATCAACAGTCCAGCTTTTTAACAGCCCCCTACCTCCACTCCTCACTAGACTACAAGTTCTACCAGGGCAAGGGTTTGATCTGCTCTTTCACTGATGTATCCTCAAGTCTAGACTGGGACCTGGTATGTAGAAGGGCTCAATAGGTATTTGCTGGTTGATTCTTGACTATCTAGTCACTAAATCTTGTTGACTGTTCCACTTTCCCAGTCAGATCAGCAGTTACTGTGACTCCTGCTCTGGCCCAGCTCCTTAACTTGAAGTTGGAAGCTCCCAGAATCCTCACCCATGTGCCCTGCCTGTAGTCTTTTCTCTCCTCTCCTCAAGCTCCCATGCCAGGTGAATCTTCCTAAACTATCCATTCTATAGAAAAGCCCGGAATGAGCATGGTATTTGTATCAGATGTCCTAGATGACAGGAATAATCCTATTAGCTCCTTTTTGGCTTCAAGTTAATTTTCACACTGATACTCCTGGACTTTCACAAATCAGCACCAATCTCCCTGAATTCTTTATACTCCCTACAGGAGCTATGTGCTTCTGCCAAGCTACGCACTGTTTCATGACCAGATCTTGGATATCCCAGCCTAGCACATGTCTCCTCTCTTTTTTATAAAGTCCCCAAGCCTGGGCTGGGGTTATAGCTCAGTGGTAGAGCACTTGCCTTCCACATGTGAGGCACTGGGTTCGATCCTCAGCATCACATAAAAATAAATAAATAAAATAAAGGTATTGTGTCTGTCTACAAAAATATATTTTAAAAAAATAAAGTCCCCAAGCCTTCAATAATCTTCCCTTCTTACTCCAACCCACAGTATTTTTTCTTGACTCTGAATTCTTGAGAGTGACATAAATGGTCACACTCTGGCTGACAAAGTAGAAAGAATGACCTACTTGCACTGTCCAATACTGTGGCCACTAGACACATATGGTTATTGATGTATAAATCAATGAAAATTAAATAAAATTTAAAATTCAATTCCTCAGCCAAACTAACTACATATCAAGTGCTTTCTATGTGGCTAGTGGCTACCATATTGGATGACACAGATATAGAACATTCCATCATGGCAGAGAGTTCTAGTGGACAATATCATTAACATTAATGAGGGCACCCTCATATACTGCCCATGTATTTGGTTATTTGTTTCTCCAGTCTGGCTTGAATCCTCAGCTAGACTGCAAGAGAAATAATGAACTCAAAAGTTGATTTGTAATACACTGTATTTGGGACTTCAATGAAGTGGACAAGCTCTAAACATAGTGATTTTTTTTTTTAAGTAATCCCTTTCCACTAACATTCAATCATTCCTACTGCCAAAAAAAAGTCTTTAAAGAGGTTGAAATACTTATTTCTAAGGCATTTCCTATTGAACTCAAGGTACAAAAGCTTTAAACTACTTTAGATTTGAAGTACTCATTTTGTCACTCATTTTTTTGTTAACATAATGGATTACCCTTGTGATTCACTAATGGGTGCTCACTCCAAGCTGCACTGTCTCCTTTCCAAGAGAAGACACAGGGATGAAGGCCAGGAAAAGATGCCCTGAGTCATTAGGCAGAGGCCCTCACCCTGGAAAGAAGATTTCTTTTTTTTTTTTTTTAAAAAAAAAAAAAAAAGCTCTTTTAGGAAATGATTGACAAAAATTATATATATATTCAAAATGTACAATATGAGTTTTCATATATGCATACATTGTGAAAAGATTATTAAAATCAAGCTAATATCCATTATCTCACATAGTGACCATTTATATGTGTGTGTGCATGTGTGGCAAGAACACTTGAGATCTATTAACAACAGTCACTAGGCCTGTGCATTAGGTCTCCAGAATGATTCATCTAATAACTGCAAGTTTGTACCCTTTGACCAACATCTCCCTATTTCTCCCACCCTCAGGCCCTGGTAACTGCCCTTCCACTCTTTGTTTTTATGGGTTCCATTTTTTTTTTTTTTTTATGTTCCACATATAAATGAGATCATGCAGTGTTTGTCTCTGTGTCTGGGGTATTTCACTTAACATAATGTCCTCCAGGTCCATATACATTATTACAAATGGCAGGATTTCCTTCTTTTTAAAGGCTTAATGAAATTCCATTGTGTATATATACCACATTTTCTTTATCCATTGAGGGACGCTTAGGTCAATTCTACATCTTGGCTC